AATGAAGTAATTTTGATCAAAGAAGCTGAGAATTGTACCCAGATAGTCTTGCTTTAAATTCTATGCTCTTTAAAAACTGATATATAGAACAATGGAACCCAATAAAGAACCCAGAGATAAATCCAGGTATATATGGTGAACTAATTTTCATCAAGGACACCAAAAAGAAAGGACACTCTCTTCAATAAATATTGCTGGGTAAAATGAATATTCACATGCAAAAGAATGAAATTGGACCTATATCTTACCTTACATACAAAAATCAACTCAAAATGGATAAAAGAGCTAAACGTAAGATGCGAAACCATAAATTCCTGGAAGGCTACACAGGGGGAAAGCTCCTTGACACTGGCCTTGGCAATAATTTTTTTGGATATCACTACAAAAGTTCTGACTATAAAATGAAAAATAAGTAAATGGAACTATATCAAACTAAAAGACTTCTGCACAGCAAAGGAAACAATCAATAAAATGAAAAGACAGCCCACAGATTGGGAGAAATATTTGTAAACCATATATCTGATACAGGTTAATATCCGAAATATATAAAGAACACACAAAACTCAATAGCAGAAAAACAGATAATCTGATTAAAAAATGAACATAGGACATAAATAGACATTTCTCCGAAGACGAAAGAGTGGTCAACAAGTATACGAAAGGTTGCTCAACATCACTAACCATTGGAGAAATGCAAATCAAAACCACAATGAGATTTTAACTCACAATTGTTAGGATGGCTATTAAAAAGACAAGTGATAACAAGTGTTGGCGAGGGTATGAAAAAGAGAAAAACTTTGGACACTGCTGGTGGGAATACACTGTGGAAGACTGTGGAGATTCCTAAGGAAATCCAAAATAGAACTACCTATCAACAATGTACAAGTGTTCCTATCTGTCTGCATCCACGGCAACATTTGTTGTTTTGGGACTTTTTGATAAAAGCCATTCTCACTAGAGTTAAGTGGTATCTCATTGTGTTTTGATTTGCATTACTCTGATGATTAGAGATGTTGAGCATTTTTTTCATATGTTTGTTGGCCACTAGTCTACCTTATATTGAAAAGTTTCTGTTCACATCTTTTGCCCACTTTTTAATGGTGGTGTTTGATTTTTTTCTTGCTGATTTGCTTGAGTTCTATAGATTCTAGTTATCAGCCCTTTATTGGATATATGGCACGCAAATATTTTCTCCCATTCTGTAGGCTATTTGGCTCTGTTGAATGTGTCCTTGGCTGTGCAGAAGCTTTTAAACTTGAGCAGGTCCCATTTATTTATTTTTGTCGTTGCTGTGATTGCTTTTGGAGTCTTCATAAATTCTTTGCCTAGGGCTGCAAACTAGTACAACCTCTATGGAAAGAAGTATGGAGATAGCTCAAAGAGCTAGAAGTAGAACTACCATTTGATCAAGCAATCCCACTACCATGTATTCACCCAAAGGAAAAAAAGATACTCTATAAAAAAGATGCCTGCACTTGAACATTTATAGCAGCACAATTCACAATTGCAAAGATGT